TCCTCCCGCTGAAGGAGATCGCCTCCCGGAAGTCCGACGGCCGGTGCAAGTGGCGCGGCTGTGTCATGGGCAACCTGATGCGGCCCGGCGTCGACTTCACCAAGACCTTCGCGAGCGTCGTCCGCTACGGCACGACCCGCACCGTGCTCAACGTGGCCGCGCAGGAGGACATGGAACTCATCACGTGCGACCAGCCCATGGCGTACACCTGGGCGGAGCGCGGGGAGGGCGAGACCTGGTACTGCGAGATGCCGAAGGGGCTCAAGGGCAAGCCCGAGTACTGCTACATCGACCCCATCACCGGCGAGGAGAAGGACATGGTGTGCGAGGTCGGCAACCTCTACGGCGCACCGTCCGCAGGTAACGCTTGGTGGAACCACGTCAAGTCCATCAACAAGGCGTTTCCTGGGCTCGTTCAGTCCGAGGCGGACCCGAGCTGCTTCGTCCTCACCCGCAACAGCACGAAACTCATCGTCGTCATCTACGTGGACGACTTCGGCATCTTCCACTCCGGGACCACCGCTGGCAGGGCGCTCGCGCACGAGTACATCGAGCACTTCAACAAGCACGTCGGCAAGCCGCTCAAGGTCCACGAGGGAAAGGTGCACGAGTTCCTCGGGCTCAACATCACCAAGACGCAGACCGGTTTCAAGCTGTCTGCCAGCAAGTACATCGACACGCTGCGCGCGCGCTTCTTCCCGTCAGGCGTCACGCACGCGGGCTACAAGGTGCCCGCGGACAAGGACCTCCCGTCCATCGTCATCAGCGCAGCCGAGAAGAAGACCGCGCCCGACCCGCAGCTCCTCCAGCGCTGCCAGTGCCTCATCGGCAGCCTCATGTTCGCCACCAACGCGCGCCCCGACATCCAGTACACCGTCTCGCAGCTGGCGCGCTGCATGGCTTGGCCCGACGCGAACATCGAGGCCGCCGCCGAGCGCTGCCTCATCTACCTCATCGGCACGCAGGAAAAAACCTCCACTACGAACGCGTCGCCGACCCCAAGCTCTTCGGCTGCTCCGACGCGAACTGGTGCACCCGCCAGAGCACCTCCGGCTGCGCCTTCAAGATCGGCACCGCGATCGTCTCGTACTTCTCCAAGAAGCAGGGTCACATCTCCCTCTCGACATTCGTCCTCACCCGCAACAGCACGAAACTCATCGTCGTCATCTACGTGGACGACTTCGGCATCTTCCACTCCGGGACCACCGCTGGCAGGGCGCTCGCGCACGAGTACATCGATGCGGGGAAGGGAGGAAGGAGCGGAGGGAGGGGGAGGGGGGGGTCTCACCACCGCCCTCCCCCGGGAGGCCGTGCCGTGGCCGGCCCGCCTTCGA